CTTCTCTTCACCTCTCTTTCCTTTTCTCTCATGATGTGAAGGCGCAGATCCTAGCTCTCTCACCTCTCCTCTCTCACCTCTCCTCTCTCCTCACGCATTCCAACCTAGATATGCCAAAGCAGGCCACCTGTTCCTTTGCTATCTTTCTCGTGATACCTACAAATTAACGATGAGCTCTGATAAGCTCTCTTCGCGTGGTAACTTTTGTAACGCCTCCGTGAAATTTTCGCAGCTGGAAAAAGCTAGAAAAAGCACTCAGTTTAATGACTCAAAAAGTACGAATACAGAGAAACAGAGTCGAGTCGACAAGTTTAGCCGTAACTACGACATGTGAACAATATTTCAGAATTTCAAAATAAGTGATTTATATTATGATGGTATCGCATCGCCGGTGATAAGGAGTATGTGCAGCTGTCATGCAAAAGATACATCACTTTCGAAAAAATACGCTGATATTTGCTTACAGCTCTCGTCCTGGAGCCCATATTTCTTTCATTCCTTTATCGGTTTTCTTTCTTTCGTTTTGCATTCTATTTTTCTTTCTTTTCTTAGTTTTCTTCAGTTTTTTTTCCCTCGAGAAATGTAATGTCTTCCGGCGAGTGAATTGTATTTTGTTCTGATCACTTTGTAAATATCCTTTTAGGTGTCTTTTTTTTTTTTTCCTCGAGAAATTTAATGTCTTCCGGCGAGTGAATTGTATTTTGTTCTGATCACTTTTTTTTTCCCTTTAACTTTCCCTTTTCATTCCCGTTTATGGCTTAATCCTTCGTTCACTCGTTTTCCATTTATCTTTCATCATTTCAGAGAATATTTTCAATCCTTCGTTTACTCGTTTTTTATTTATTTTCGAGTTCTTTTATTTCTTGATTTTCGTCGATTTTGATTTCTTCACCTTCCTTTCTTCCTTCCTTCCTTCCATCCATCCATCCATCCATCCTTCCTTCCTTTCTTCCTTCCTCCCTCCCTCCCTTCCTTCCATCCTTCCTTCCCTCCCTCCCTCCCTCCCTCCTTCCTTCCATCGATACATTCATCATCCAAATAATGCGAACCACGCGAGCCAAACTCAGTCACGATAACATTGATATCAGCTAAAAACGTCGAGGTTTAAACAAGAAAAGCAACACCAGAAAAGTAAACAAAAACGAATGAAACAAAAAATAATAATATTCCTAAATCATTAGAGGTAAAGATTAACATAAACACGATTGATTATATTTAAAGGGCTACTAAAAATATCTTACTGACCTCTTGAATAAACTGAGACTCCAAAAAATCCGGCATGCAGTCTTTCTTCCTGGCGAACGAGAAATAAAAGTATATAAAAACGACAATTAAACTGTAATCTTTTCTACGTTAATACGCAGCTGTTTTTAACTTGCCGATTGAAATAACGTCAGTAGATCGCATCACAAATGCAAGATCTGTTGATAGTGAATGGTTTTAAAACAGATGGTATAGCAATCCCTATCCTCCTCCATCTGCAGACATCAAATATGAATCGTAAACATTACATTTATACATCAGTTCATGTTTAATGAAAGGTCGAAACATAATAATTTATTGACAAATGATTTCTTATCGGCTCCATTTAAGTTTGCCTGCCATTTCTTATGCAATTATTTGACATTAATAGTTAATATTTTTGAACATAAGATTAATCGGTTATAGCCAGTAAAGATGGCAATTTAACTTCATTAGCTTAAGGAAAGACTTAAGAAAAATAGGAATTTAGAGGATCTGTTTAGTAACGTAAAACATCGTAAGCTGGTGAACTTAGGGGGGTGGGGAGGGTCGGTTTAGTTTTATAAAAAAATCCACACCTTAAACACAGGTAGGGAATTTAGAGGGGTAGGGAGGGTCTGTTTAGTTCCATAAGACATCCACACCTTACACACACAAGGCAGGGAATTTAGAGGGGTAGGGAGGGT